ATGTTCGAACGAGAAGCTTGTTTGCTGGAGATTGCGTTAATGACGTCCTCCAGAAATGCCCCATAAGTAGGGGGGCTTAATTCGTATTCACTATGCTAAGAATGAAACATCACCAGATTAAAGGCGATGCCTCTGTAGCCAGGTTGAATATTTCCTTTAATTCTTCAACATCTGTCGTCTGTATTTGCAACTTTTGGTCATTAATTCTCTGCCAGCGCTTGAAGTTATTAAAGGTCCACTTATATGATTAGTAATCCTAGACGCATTCATAAATCTCAGACTAATAAAATCCTGTGATATAGGTGAAATTCTTCGGCGGCGATCAGACGTGAACGACCGGAAACGGTCGAAAAGCTCCAAACTCTCACGATAATGGAAGTGCTGGATAAATGTCTCTATATTGAAAGAAAATGGACAACCAAGTATAATATGGTATGAAGCTGCTATCAGCGCATTAGAAACGGTTCCCGGATCATCATGGAAAGACTGAGGCATGCAATTAATGGGAATCTTCATCGAAAAAGGCAGGCTTTCGACGGAGTACACGTTGTTTGACCAAATTTTCACTTTTCGTTAACAATGCCGACGATTCCAATTACCTTTATACGCCATATTCATCGACTGACGCATCTGATAACGTTAGTCCAGTAATGTGGAAATTTTTAAAAGCTCTTGGATACCTGCGCACATCGTTACCATTATAGAAGAAACGTATTTGGGAATTGTTTCTGCCATTATAATCAAAGATGGATTATTTGAATAGCATCTTGTTAGCTTTGAAGTTCGCTGCGGCGATGTATTGTTGTTTTATCTCTACAACATTGTTCTCGAACGTCGCTAAAACTATGCTGATCTGATCAAAGTGGAGGTCTCATTCGTAAGGGAGAAATTTTTCAAGATATGTGATGTTGCATCTTTTCGACTTGGAATATGCGGATGGCATTATCTTGGTGAGTAGTACAGGAAGCTGGTTTATCGCTTGACAGCTTCAATTTGCAACAGAGCTGCGAAATTTCGTCTCGTCCTTAGCGATCACAATTCAAAAGTTTTAAGGTACCTAACGGTCACTGCAGGTCCACAAATGCAACATGGAAGTGAAACAACCGGTGATGTTTGCCGGTTTAAGTATCTCGACTCCACTAGCCGCAGCGATAGTACCAGGAATTAGAAATGAGTTGGAGAATCGCTATTACCTCTAGTGCTTTCGGTGGCTTGTCCAATATTTTGGAGAACAAAAGGAAATTTCTTTTCATTAAAATCCGCATAGCCTTTCTTCCGTCAGGGGAGCGTTGCTACGAGGCATAATGACCGCTGTTCTAACGAAGGTAAAGGAATAACCGGTTAGCAACGTACGGCACCGCTGGCTGTGACGCGTGATGATGATTAAAGGGCAAAACAAATGTACAGAATGACTGTATTCTGGCACAGACATTGTAGTAGATGTAGAGTACAGGAAATGGATTATTTCAGCATTGACTTTTTGCTCCAGCCATAAAGATTTCATGAGAGAATTGAAATGCAACCAGTATTAACTAGAAGGCCAACATACGTGGATGAACCTAGAACCAGATTCGCATTCGTGAACGAATAGTTCCTAATGCAATGCAGTTACCAGTGCCTTATAACAAAAGTATAAAGATTAAGAATGAAGTATGCATCACAACTCGGTAAGCTTTTGCCAACGCATTTGGCTCAGAGTGAAAATCATAATAAATAACAACAAATTTTGCATGCTTTCATGTTTTTCTGTTTTTTGTCTGGAACAGTCTTGACGATGCTAACTTTAGGTCTATTTGTTTTGGAAAGTCAGACCTTTAAAGTCATAACCAGTGACTGGTTATGTTGTTGGTATTGAATATGGGACGGGTTTTCCGTGAGGAGCTTGTACGGGAGTTTTTTAAAGTGCATAAAGAGTGGTGAGCGATGACGTTTGGTAAGATAGCCGGATGCCCGTATCTATTGACGTTTTTCTTGTTATGGTAGCTTTTTGCCTTATTATGTACAGACTAAATTATTGCAGATTAAATATTGCATTATTCTTCTTTCAAAGTCTATTTATAGATCATCTGTTTAATTTAAAGTTCGCTGCCAAAGAACTACAACGCAATGCGAAAAAATGTGAGAAAGACGAAAGGGCTGAGAAAACGAAGCTGAAGAAAGCAGAAAAAGGTTCTTTATCATCATCTAAGGTATATTTATTTAGGCTATTCAAAAAGGCGATCTGGAAAGTGCCCAGATCCATGCCGAAAATGCGATTCGAAAAAAGAATGAGGCTCTGAACTACATGCGAATGAGCTCCCGTATTGATGCCGTGTCAGCCAGGGTGCAGACCGCGATCACAACGAAGAAAGTATTGTTCGGTGAAGGACTCCTGCTTTCTCTGTTTTGCTGCTATTGTTCTGTTCAGGTAACACAGTCTATGGCTGGCGTTGTCAAAACCATGGATGCCGCAATGCGATCGATGAACTTGGAGAGAGTATGTTTTGGAAATGAAACATTATAATGACCGGGTGCATACGTAGATTTGATCTAGCCGTAGTGTTTATTGTGTTTTTATAATCATGTTGCAGGTTCTTGTTCATGACCTACAATACTTAAACTCTCGGAATGGCAAACGTATTCGTATGATTTTACGTCGTTTTTAGGGTTTCCGCAAAGGAAGTTTTCCTAAATCACTGTTGATCTGTGTGAAGGATATTTTCCACATTGGTTTCTGATACAGCAATTTCTTTGAATGGGTTTCATTTGGCGAATCGAATGGGTCAATGATATCACAGATTCGTTCGTGGTACTGTCTGACCACCAGATTCGTAGATTCTGCATTAGGATGTGATTCTTTGAACACAGATTCTTTGCTAACAGTACCTCCCAGTCCGATACTCAGTGATACCAACCAAACTTTTAATCGCTACGCCGATGCCGTACCAAAGAGTCGGAATGACTGAAGGTACGAAGGACTGATTTTTGTCGTCATGCTTATTCGCTGTTGAAACCAGATTTTCACTAGGCTTTCAAACGTATTCGCTGCTGAAGCAATTCTGTTCAATTCTACATCGCAGTGATCTTCGTTTGTAATTTTTGAACCTAGGTATTTTAAGCGATCATTTTCGGTCAGACAGTTTCCAGGAATTGAAAAATTTTATTACTGTTGTTTCTTTTGCCTTATACTTCACTCTCGTTTTCACCCACTTCACTTGAGCTCAGTGCCCGGGCTTTCTGCAGTACTGATTTTGCCAATTGTTGTAGTCTTTTCCGATATCACTCGCCTGTAAGATGTCCGCGTAATTGAGAATCGCGAAATTTAAGGCGGGTTGCTTTGAGCTGCGCCTTCGACTTATCGCCAGTCAGTTTTTTGTAATGATCAGCGCTTTTCCACATCACATATTCGACTACAACGCTAAACGATATCATAAAAAGAAAACACGTACATGTACAAGTTATAGGAGCAAGTAATATTAAATGGGATAGCGG